GTCAGTTAAAATTTATTTGTAAATTGAAATTGACATAAAACCTTTTTAACGAAAAAAAAACGGATGGATAAAGAAATCAAAAAAGCCGAAAAATATAATAAATCTTATTAATTTTAATAAATAAGTTTCTAAACGAATGTACCTATGTATCTAATTTTAAATACGAACAAACACTCAACGTTTGATTTTTTTAAAGTGTTTATGTTATTATCTTTGATCGTTACAAAGATTGTATAAACGATACCTTTGGTGGGTGAACTTAATGACAATGTGAGGGGTGGAATTTCCATTTCAAATTAAAATGATACTGCTATGTGTATATAATACTATATATATGTACTACTTGTTAAGTTTAATTATTTCTATGAGATATCAGGAAACAAATTAATTAATGATTCATAAAAAAATTTGTTAAGATTGATTAGAGTAAGAAATAAACAAAGGTATGCTAACTTAGTAGTATTTTTAAGTCTGCAGTAACCGCGTATTTCTTGTTGATCTTTGCAAATAGGTAGGTACTAATACAAAGTGTTTGTCGTTTGTAAATCCGCTTGTAATTTCCCGTTAGAATCTTGAGTCATAGATTGTTCATAATAGCATGGTAACAATCGATTTCTAATATTTATATATATATATATATATATATATATATATATATATATATATATATATATATATATATATATATGTACGATTTACAGTTTTTGAGATAGAACACGGAAAGCCATGTATGGCTTAATGCAAAGTCAATCGCTAATCTCAGTCAATAGTAATGTGTTGTAAAAACAAAATTATTCATAAAAAAATTATAATCATGAATAAACTTTATTTTTATTTGATAATACTATGACATACTTATTTCATGTAATTAAATAGTAATGAAGTGAAAGTTTAAAGTACTTTAAATACATTTTAGTTATTTATATTCTAAAATATATTATCACACATTTACTACAATTGAAGTTTAAATTATAAAATATACTTACTAATATATAATTAAATATTAGTTTAGTTACATTTATGGGCCTCACTTTTCTTCTTCTTTATAGTTTATTATTTATAGATAACTAGCAGAGCCCGCGGCTTCGCTCGCGCAAAACTAGAAAAAAAGATCTAAAAAGGTAGTAGTCATACAAACTTTCATCCCCTATTTTACGCCCTTATAGAATCAATTTCGGCAGTTAATGCTAAAACTCGTATTTATTTAATTGTGCTGAAGAGCATGAATACCAAGTTTCAAAGTTGGGTTGTATTATAACGTGTTTTCCCGTGGGAAGTAGATAATCTCCCGCTGTAAAAAGTAGTCTATATCATTCTCCAGCACTCCAACTATCCCCACACAAAAAATGACTCCAATCCGTCACTCCGTTTCGACGTGAAAGAAGGACAAACAAACAAACAAACAAACAAACAAACAAACAAACAAACAAACAAACAAACAAACACACTTTCACATGTATAATATTAGTATGGATATAATTGTTAACTATGACAGTTTTATTAATGAATTTATTATAAATTTGTAATTTCAGCTGATACTTTCCAAATTTATCATCGATTATATAAGGTGTACAGTTATCTCGTACTCGTATAAATTAATAATTTTAGAAAGGGAATGTAGAGATTTGTATATTTAGATTTTCCTAACATGCATCGCTTAAAAAAAATGAACTCAAATTATTATAAAAATAGCAGATAAAATTTTAAACAAAAGATTAAGTACCTAGATTAGTTCAAGTAGATTTACGATTTTCAAAAGTCATTTTTAAAATAATTTTAATTTTTTTTTATATGTTGAAACGCTTTGATACGATCTATATTTGGCAAAGCGGTTTAACATGAAGCCATTTTACTAGTTATGTTTCTTTTCCCTTTTTCGATTTACACACTTTAAAATTTAAATGTTTACCGATTTTATTTAAATTTAATTTTACTGAAGCACTTGATTATGAAACCGACAACGTTATATAAAAATAATAAATAGTTCATAAATGTTATACACTGGCAACTAGGTCTGCTTAAACAATTCGTGCATCATAAATTAAAAATCTAATTGGAATTGTAAGGTCACCTTAGGCCCTTAGCTCTTAAGTTATCTAAATATTGCAGTTTAAGACAAGCGATATCTTACAAAATGACCTTCACTCGCTTTCACCGCCATGTGGTGAGCGACACGGTGCACGTGACGTGTAACATGCATTATTCTATTTGATTTGTTGTCTGGGTCTAGTCTAAAATTATGAACCATTACAATCAAAGAGGCAAGTTTCAAGTTTTACACAACCTATACTTATGAATAAAAATCAATGCGCCTTTCTGTTTTTCAAAAATATCTATTTGATTCTGATTATATGGTTATTTATAATACCAAAGTTTAAACAATGCTAATGTTTAATTAATGTTTATTTCTTTACGTACAAAACGATCCCCAAAACGGACGAGCCTATTTTGAAAGGATTTTCTCTAATAGATAGAGGATTCAGGCAAGAGTGTTAGACATGTATTTATTTTTCAATCTGTTCGCCGTTTTCTCGGATACCTATGGTTTGACTGATCTGATAAGTTTAGACTACTGTTTTCTATAAAGAACGAGCCCCAGTTATGGGACCCTATATAATTTTCTTTGGCTTAAGATATTATCAAGGAAATCAGAAAAACTAATCAAGTAAGAAATAACTGAACTGAAATAACCGAATTCTCATTAACCTAATCAGATAGGTACTTTTGAAGTGAATTTTGATCAAAGTTTATTTTTTAATTTTAATAATGTAGGTATTATTCGATTTTAAAGTTTATTCGTGATATCCTTGCCGATTATAAACAAATTTAAACGACTTCCTCATAAAATAGTTATACCTTTATGGTGGGATCTAAATTTTAGGAAAAAAATCTACTGCTAAAGGCGGATTTTTTACAGGGAAAATCAATGGCGCAATATTTTAAAAATAATTACTCCACGAAATGGATACTTTTCCTGGTTCGTCCTTTTAGGGAATAGAAAGTTTGTGAGTTAAAGCTTAGATACAAAACAAACGATGCTAACGTAGTACTTATATTAAAAATTTAGAAATTTACTGTACTCTGAATATTCTAATATGCTACTAAGCACAGTAGCAGATATTTTACGGTAATTGTTTTGATAACGCAAAATGTTTACCTACTAACACTAGAATTAGATTTACTAAACGTAATAAATTTAATTTTTTATACAACTCATTAGAAAATGTACATTATTATGTTTGTATTATGTAAAGTTCTAGTATATTAAAATAATAATAGGTTTAATGAATGTACATTTTGAATTTAATGAATATAATTAGAACGAGTTCTTAAGTGGCTTTTAAGCAGTAGTGCGAATTAAAATATGAATTCGCACTACTGCTTAAATTGTTACAATTAAAATATGAATTACCTATTATATAACTGTTGTATTGAAAAGGCCAAGTTTTGGTTCGACGAAATGACAAAACAATATTCAAATGTAAGGTGGTTAACATTTAATATTCCTAATAATTAATATTTATTATTACAGTGTTAACTAAAAGGAAGTAAATAAATAACGTGTAATATTACTGCTATAATTCTATATATACACGGGCATTTTTCTATAGGTCACATAAAATAATATTTCGATTAACGTGTAGTAGGTATGTTTGAAGCCTGATTTTCTCATACAGTAAAAACTAACAAAACTTCTTCATTTGACAAGCACATTTTGACAAAAAAGATAACAATCATATTTGATCGAATGTGGAACGTTTTTGCCCTCGGCAATAATGCCGGAAGCGGAACTAAAGCAAAGTCGTAAAGAAAAGCTCGCAAGTTTCGTGACTAGTGAAGCACACGAGTCTCAAATGTCAAGATCTAGACGTTAAGCCAACGACTTCAATTAAGTCATTATCATAATTTAGATGTTTAATAAAATATTTACGCTGTCTCTTAGTCTGTAAATAATTTATTATTTTCTTATTTAAACAAAAAATACGATCTTTTTGTTAATAAGATTTAAGTAAAGAATAAATAAATAATATAATTATGTATAAATTCAGGATTATATTCTTTCTAAGAGGGTGACAATTTATTTGCAATAGCTAATACTACCACGAAGATCACATTAAAATAAAAAGTATCTAGCTTATTTTACTTTCTGGTACAAACCATAAGTATATCTAAAGACTCGTTGCTGCTTGAAATGAAGAACTAAAATAACTAAACCAACAAGCACTAATTATTTTAGTAAGGTGCTATAAAATTAAATCATTTTCTTATATATCATACCTATTTAGTTAGAATAGATACAAATTACGCACATAATATAGGTACACATAGATTCGTGACCGATCAATAACTGGCGACAATAAACGTTATAAAGTATGTATTACGAGACATCCTTGTTTTGTAAACCCACATGGGTACATGACATCCGACACGAGATTTATCGCTGGCTTTTCGTAATAGGCCAGAAAACCCACTTAACGTTAATACGTAAAGCAAAAAAATGATAATGCTAAGCCGTAACGTTTTCTAGGGATTTATTTGGAATAAAGCATACTACTACTACTACAATAATATACTCATATTACCTACCAAGTATTATGTAATATAAATATTATTTATTTTTACAGGTTTTTTATTTATATGTAAACCATTAATGAAATATTTAACTGTCTTTCATTACCTTTATATAATATTAATGTATACTAATAAATTGAGAGCCGATTTTTTTGTTCGGTTATATTGCGATAACTATTGAACCGATCGGAATAATACTCATACCATAAGATGCAGCGTGTTTCGGAAAAGTATATGATATATTGGTGATTACTTATCCGGAACCTATATATATATATATATATATATATATATATATATATATATATATATATATATATATATATATATATATTAATGTACTATGCGGTCGGAGCCGCAGGAAAACGCTAGTATTTAAGTAGTAGTAGTACGATGAATGTTGAATAATGCTTTACATTAATAATTACCTGGGTTCCCAAAACAAGTAGAGAAACATGTAAGTAGAATAAGGGCAAATCTGCAGTATCGATATTTGGCACATACCGCTGCCATCATAAGTTGATAGAGTCTGGAACAAAGAACAATTATATTATTAATCGTTCCTAGTGAAACGAGTTTATTTGTGAAAACATTATTATATATTATATTATATCTATACATATAATAAAATTGTAATTAAGCCGAATCTGTACAATAAATATCTTTTGGAAAATCTTATTGAAATAGACATTATTATCGATACAGAGACCAAATCTATAGTTTTTAGATTTTTTGTCTGTCTGCCTGTCTTTTACCGCATCACAGAAAAACCACTGGAGAGATTTTGATGAAATTTGGTATGGTGATAGCTGGTTATCCGGGTCAACATATAGCATACATTTTACCGCGGGAAAATATCTCATTTCTGAGAAAAATGTAAAAACTGTAAAACCTAAGAATTTGGTTTTGGTCATCTAAACGCGGTCGGAGCCGCGGGCAATGCCAGTGTTATATAAAATATGATTAAATGGTGTCAATTACGTAACTACAACTATTATAAAAAGCTTCTAAATAATTTCATCGCCAATAGAAATCATAGAATACCTATGAGTGAATAATGTAAGTATATTGTATTTGGTTTATATGAATAACACGAATAAAAGTCTAATATATATATATATACACTTTATGTAAGTAATAACCATTTTTTATATTACATGAAAATAGGGGCCTGTTTTTCTATTCAGTTACATTGCATTATTTTACAAAAAAAGATAGTAGAGATGTAGGTCATTGCGCTAATAAAACTTTTTAAGCTACTTTATACGCACATATTATCGGTAAATTTAGTTTAAAAAAAAGTGCACTTAAGAATAATCGTGTAGGAAAAAAATTCTATCACGTCAAATCCAAACCAAGCTAATAATAGCTTTTATGTCTATACTCTAGTTAAATGGTTAAGTATGGCCTATGGACAATGGCTGCCAGGCATTCTATTTAATTGCATATGCACGCTGCTTCATTTCCATACTATTTTAAAAAACCAAAAATGTTTTAAGGTAATAAAATCTTTTACATCTAATATTATGCATTTTGTTTAAATATTTGTATCCGTCATTGATTCATCAGTTTTTGAATTTATTTTGGAAGATATTTTTTTCTTATAACCTATTTGTGCAATAAAGCTAGAAAATAAAAAAGTTTTATTTAATACCTCATATAAGGGGCCAAATATAATATTTCGTATTACATTAATTAATCTATCACATGAAGAATTCAATAAAACTTTTTTCGTTTAACCCTCTCTAGTTAAATAAAAAATTAGAATTAGATTATATAATTATATGGATAACCACCAAAATATGTAAGAAGTTTTCCACTTTTCCCTTCAGAAGATTCAATGAAAGTGTTCTGAGAGAGATGGTGAGGTTAATGTTTCCTTTTCAACCGACTTCAAAAAGGAGGAGGTTCTCAATTCGACTATATTTTTTTTAATGTTTGTTACCTCAGAACTCTGTCATTTATTAACCGATTTGGACAACTTTTGTGTTGTTTGAAAGTGTATACTTCCAGATTGGTTCCATTTAAATTTCAAAAAAATATACCACCCCTAAGGGTGGAAAAATAGCTAATGATGAATTTAACCTACTTCTAATTGTCATATTGGCTTGAAACTTAGCAAGTGTTTCTATTTCCATTGATAGTATAGTGGTTCGGTATTATTGACCTGATCTGATAGTAAGGCCAGAAGGTGGATAGGTGGAACTCTTCAACGGCAAATAGTAGATACTTCGAGTTTGGGCTTATTTTGTTTGATTTGACAAGCCTAATACGTTAGAATTCTTACTTTGCTACTACTGTCTACACTAAAAAGGGAAAAATAAAAACTTTTTAACAAAAAAATAAAAACCGACTTCAAACAAAAGCACAAAAAAGTAAAAAATAATGAATTAGTATTTAATAATTAATAATTAGGCTAAGTAATTAAAGCCTACCTATTAAATACCTACCTAATCAAATAATTTCGAAGTCGGTGCCAGCCCATACAAAGCAAAGCACACCGACTTCGAAAATATTTGATTAGGTATGTATAGTAAATGAAAACTACCAATCAGTTATTTTTTACTTTTTAGTGCTTTTGTTTGAAGTCGGTTTTTATTTTTTTGTTAAAAAGTTTTTTACAACAGATGTACAGAGCTTTAATTAAAACATATGGAGAATCTCAACGAGACTACAAAAAACTAGATTCTTACAATAACATAAATGACGAATAGTTGATTAAAATACCTGACGATGTAGATATACTCGTATGTATAGTAACACCTGCTCACGCTGTTAATGGCCTAAGAGCCTGTGGACGCCAGACCTTCGTCATTTTATAAAAGCTAAAAGTTTGTCAGCGCATGCTCCCAACAGAGATAAGAACGATGGACCATTATGAAATTCAGGCTATGGTGGCTTTGGCAGGTACACGGTACTAAAGTTGTGTAAAATACCGATCTAAATTCGTCAAATAATAAAGTGAAATGAAATAAATACATGAAAAGTAAAGTCAATTCTTAGCGCTTCAAATTTGGTGACCATTTGCAACATTTTCTTAGAAATGCCTCCCAACTTGTTTGGAACATTTTCCATGGTGTGTAATAAATGCTATGCTAGCAGTCTTATAAATCATCTAATTATTACCCAAGTATTATATATAAAAATCAGCTTTTATACTATAACGTAAGTAGAATTATGATTTCATGAAAAGGGTGTCTGGCAAGGGTTTGCCACGATGTTAAGTGTCTGGCATTGAATGACGTGATTTTTAATAATATTCTGAAGGTAATACCAAAAAATCACACTTTATTATTTGACGAATTTAGATCGGTATTTTACACACCTTTAGTACCGTGTACCTGCCAAAGCCACCATAGCCTGAACTTCACAATAGTCCATCGTTCTTATCTGTGTTGGGAGCATGCGCTGACAAACTTTCAGCCTTTATAAGATGAAGAAGGTCTGGCGTTCACGGGCTCTTCCTCTATAAGGGCGGGAGCACAATAAGCTTACCTATAAAAATATAATCTCCAAAAATCATTCATATTTTATATTCTTTAAAGCTATATTTTCCGACTATTGCTATATAATTTTATACTTTTTAATATAATATGTTCCAATTATTTTATAATATCATGGCCAGAATCATTACTTCTTGAAGGATTATTAAAGTTTAAAGCTTTTCTTATTTTTGACTGTTGACTTACAATTCAATTTATTATAGTCAGTGAAACATGTGAATTCAATAATAATTTCGATTATAAAAAATGTTTTGTTAAACATAATTATAATTTTGAAATTTCTATAATAAAAGTATAAAACAATTTATTATGAAAGAAAACTTACACCTATATAATATGCAATATACAAAGTTATTGTATCATTTTAAGAGTTCAATACTCTCGTTAAATGACTCCAACAAGTTTTGTGCGTATTAAAATATAATATTTAGTAAACTAAAGGTAATTGCAATAACTAAATACCAATATTACAAATTACAGGTTTTAAGTATAAACTAACCACTTACATATTTATAATGGAGACTAGAATACGCGATGTATTTTAATTATTCACAAAACTCATAATATAATAGTGACTCAAAAACAACACGAGGTTTGTTTTACTAATAGCTTATTCCCATATATAATGTTCACCAAAACAGATCTTGTCCATACTCGATGTTGCCAAGACTTACGCAAATTTGTCAACTTGTAGGACAGTAGACCTTCACATGCGATTGCTCTCCTCGATTACTTCGGTTTGTTAGCATTTGTCTCACATTCACTGCTGGTTTTTTGTCACTGGGCCGTGACTTTTTATATATTTGGTGCATTGTATGTGTAGTATTGGCTAAGCTTGAGATATTTATCGTTCATAAAATAACTTAGTCTGAATTTTGGTAGTATATAAAGACGTTCACTTATAAGCGTATAACAAGTAAATTTCGCACATTTGTTAAAGTAACAAATACAGCACGTATGCAGCGCCAAGTTGGATCGTAACGACTTAAACGGACATTGAACTTAATTTTATTCGAAATATAAGAAAAATAGTTATACAATAAATGTTATATATTTTTTTTATTATGAATTCTTACATAAAGCTACGGAAATGTATGTTTGATTTTCTTCAGAAATCACGAAAAGTAATTAAAACGAAATAAAGTAGGTAACTTTAAAATATTTGGCAACTATTGGTAAGGCTGTATTTTATTAAGATTTATATGTGGTGTGTTACACACACATACAATTTTTAAAAATCTTAAGCAGCCACATACTACTCGTAGAAATACCTATGTATTCATATGTTTTCGTCAAATATCGGGATAAGTATTTTTAGTTATTATTTTAAAATATTTACAATGTATGTATGTAAATATTGAACATTTATAAATTCAATTTCTTTAAAGAGAGAGTTTCGTAAGATTGTTCTAAATTAAAGTTTCATAAGACAGGACAAAGTACAAGGGCAGGCAAAGATGCGCAGACGCGTGGTACACATTCGAATTGCTTAATAGATCTACTTGGTGATGACCAATAATCTGACAATTATTTGACTCTACAAACGAAATACATGTGATTTTAAAATTTGTTATGCTAACTAAGGTTATATAGTTATTAGGACAATCTTTTTATTTGACTGTGTGTGAACTAATCTTATTCGATTTCTTCGATTTTAACGGACCTTCAATATATTGATAGAGAACTTGACTTTGCAAAGAAAAACAAGCCAGCAAAATTATTATTCCTAGGTTTTCAATTTATCTCAACATAGAAAAGGAATCCAAGAATACAGGAATATATGGATTTTTAATAATAAAAACTTTTAAACAAAAAAATAAAAACCGACTTCAAACAAAAGCACTAAAAAGTAAAAAATAACTGATTGGTAGTTTTCATTTACTATACATACCTAATCAAATATTTTCGAAGTCGGTGTGCTTTGCTTTGCATGGGCTGGCACCGATTTTGAAAATATTTGATTAGGTATGTATTTAATAGGTAATAATAAATATATTTAATAGGTAAGGC